AGGTTACACCTCTGTGACCTATCCAGACACTCCAGAAAATACGCTTTGTTAATCCCCTTGGTGACTTTATTTTTTTTTTAATTTTATTTAAGGAGAAAAGAAAAAAAAAAGCAGGGAAAGGGTACAAGTTATACAGATTTACAGAAAGAAAATGAACAGTAGGAAATCACTAGTTAATGGATTACATATTGTCATCTTAGAAATAATTGTTCAAGTCACAAAATTAAAGCTTGTAAAGTGGACATTCCATCAATGATACTGCAAACAGTTCTGTTCATTGATCCAATAAAACTCTGTGATATCATTTTCTATCTTATACACTTAAATATACATGCAGTTATATAGTTTAGAGCACTTTCTTTTCCTCTCTTTTGTACCATGACTATTACACATTTTGGGTTTCATTGCTCCCACGCTTCTTATTACTTTTTTGGAAGAGAGTAAAACCAAATGTGACATAACAGAACAGAATCGGTCAAGTCAAAAGGGTGGACATAATAGATAATGTAAAAACATAATACAGGTGATCAACAATGGTTACCATAATGTCTCCCGCTATCTCTAATAGAATTGCCTATATCATTAGTTATAATACAATTGAACAAAACAGTAAAGAATAAAACCGACAAAACCAAAACATTGGAGACATTGTAGGTCTTCAAAAGTAGCTAAAAGTCAACAAGAATGGGCGTCATAATGAATCTCATTATCTTCACAGCTGATGCCTAAACTTTCGAACCTGATACTATCCAGCAAAACAGAATAGGGGAACATCAGTTAAAAACCAGATGGTGAGAGTAATACAGGGCTTTAAATCAAGGTAATGAAAAGTCAAAATGGGTTACTATAATATATCCTGCTATTTTTTTCCTTTAATTAAAAGGATAAAGATAAAAAAGTAAATAATGGAGTGGAGATTGAGATAAAAGAGGGCATAACAACGAAACAGCGCAGATCAAAACATAGCCATTTAAGCAGAATAGTGTTTCACCACCAGATAATCCTAACCTAAAAGTAGTTACCATATTGTTTCTTTCTTTGAAATCCTTGAGTACAACTTCGTATACTGTAGCATTAAGTATATCAAAACAATGTAAAACCATTCAAGAGAATGACAGCATTACAGAGTATTTAGAATCGACTAACAGAAAATGAACAATGGTTTCTGTATAATCTCCTTGTCTTTAAAAGGTTTTTGCTTATACTATCGTACATAATAAAATCCAATAAGATACAGCCTATTTAGACCATTGGAGACAGAAGGACAAAAGCTAGATGAGACTTCAAAACAAGATGATACTAAATCAGTATTACCTATTAAGATGTCATTTTCTCCAAAATAGCTGTTCCTATCATCCAATCTTCTCTGCCTCATTTCTGTTAAGCTCTTTTTCTGTCAGTAGCTGTCAGTTTGTCTTCTTCATTTTGTTCTCTGCTCCATTTGTTGTGGCCTCCCCGCCACTATTTCTGGGTTCTTTGTATTTTTCTTTTTTTAGAATATCCTGCAATACTTTCTGTAGAGTTGAATTGGTGGTTGCAAATTCCCCCAGTTCCTCTTTATCCTGGAAGCACCTTGTTTTTCCATCAATTTCCAGGGACAGTTGTGCAGGATATCTCAATCTTGGCTGGAGATTATTATCTTTCAATGCTTGAATTATTTCCCCCCACGCTCTTCGTGATTTGATGGTTTGTGCAGAGAAATCTGCTGTAATTCTGATGGGTGTTCCCTTGTAAGTGGTCTGTTTCTTGTCTCTTACAGCTTTTAATATTCTGTTCTTGTATTGAATTTCTGGAATTTTTATTATTATATGCCTGGGTGTTGCTCTGTTTGGGTTGTAGGTAGCTGGGGTCCTGTATGCCTCATACATCTGAGTATCTTTACCTTTTGCTAAATTAGGAAAATTCTCCTGGATTATTTCTGTGAGTAGCTTTTGTAGTTCACTTGTTTGCATCCCTACTTCTTCTTTTATGTTCTTAATCCTTAAGTTATGGATCCTCTTATCATCTTCTTGTCTTTGTATTATTGCTGTTTGTTTCTTTGTTATTTTTAAGAAGTTTTTCATTTCATTCTCCCATATTACAAGTCTGCCCTCCAGTTCAGATAGTCTGTCCTTAGTTTCTTTCAAGCTGTTATGCCAGTCTTCGATAGACTTCTTAGTATCTTGGTAGTCCCTTTGAACCTGCTTCACGTATTCTATGCTTTCTCTGTTTTCTCCATCAAACAATTCTCCCCTTTTTTTCTGTTCTTCCATTCCACCACCTGTTTTTTCTTGGGTGGTGCTTAGCATTTCTCTAACTATTCTGCATACTTCTAGCTTCAGGTCGTTGATAACTTCATTCCTGAATTGGTCTATGAGGCTCTCTATATAGTGCCTTATGTGTATTGGTGCGGTGTCTGCTATTGCCTGTTTCTCAGAATTGGGGGCCGAGGAGCCTTTCTTGTTGCTGCCTCTTCCCATGCTGCCTCTTCTTCTCTGTTCCTTATATATGCAAGCTTATATAAGAGGCCCAGCTTCTCTCCCAGTCAGCCACAGCCTGATCGAATTGCGCCAGTTAGGTGTTCCCGCTCACCCCTGCGCACCAGGGAGTTATGGACCAGGCAGCCTACGCGTCTCCCCTCCCGGCCACCGTCAGGCTCTGGGATCTGGGTTGGAACAGTCTACCAGGTCCGCCGGCAGCGTCACGCAGGCCAGGCACTTTTCACCAATCCCGCCCGAGAGGGGGATGTGTGGCTGGAGTCACCACCGCGCCCTGCTCCCGCAGGACTGCTCGGGCCCAGAAAGTCCTCTGCTGGAGTCAAACTGTGGTAGAGTGTCAGTTTCTCTCACTCACCTCACCATAAGTCAGTGCACGCCTCCCTGCCGTTCGCAGATTGCCGTTCTCAGAGCTTCTGCACGTCTCTCCCCTTGCCGAGCCGCTGTAGAGGCGGGAAACCCAAATCGCGGCTTACAATGGCGCGGTTCCAGCCTCCACACCGAGTCTTTTCTGTTCCTGTTTTAGCACCAGGACTGCATTCCAAGTTGGCTTCTCTCAGCCCAGTTCGTTCCTGAGTCAGCAGAGCATATCTCCACCTGCTTATGTCTCCTTAGTCCGCACCATTCCTGGCTTCTGAGCCGAGTCTTTCAGAGAGCCGCCGGTAGTTGCTGTTATCTGTCCGCCATGTTCTCCCGGAAGAGTCAAATGGCAACTTAATTGTGTGTACTGAGCAATTGGCTAGATCTTACATCTTTGACATCCTCCATAATATATTAAAAGATCTGCAATACAGTGTTTCTTAGTGCTGGTCTTCCTCTTTTCTACGTTAGAGATAGACAAGCCCAATGTGGGCGCGTCTGGAGACCTAAGACCCTGAGGCACCCGCGGTAACATTAACAGGTGACCTGACCCCGCCGAGGGAAAAGCCATGAGGACCTCGGGGTCTGGAGCTGGGCGGGAGGCTGCAGCTCCCAGAGCTCGTTCTGCCACCTCCTCTCAGACCTCAGCCCGACCCCATCCCTTCCCCGGCTCCCGTCCCACAGCATCACCACTGTGTGTCTTTCCGGTCTGCAAGAGTCCTTCCATGAGGCCTGTAGGCCGTAGAAGTCTCAGTAAGCAGTCTAGCCGGGACAGAAATTCCCCTTGGTGACTTTAAAGCCAATCAAGTTCACAGTCCAGATTAACTTTCAGAAAGAAAAGATACTTGCTACAAATTCATAGTTTTTAGAGGCTAAAATTTTATGACATGTGCGCTTTTATGGAACTGTTGGGTTATACTATACTTTCTTGTTTAGTTTCTTCAGATATGGCCAGTTTTCTCTTAACACTCTTCTTCTCATGCCTGGAGTCCTTTGTTGTTGGCTGCTGTGCTGCATTGCTAAGACCCATCGCTGGAGGAGTGTCCTTGCTTTTCAACACATTTAAGATTATGGAAGGACATGTGTACATCTTATATTCTTTGCTTCACATGCATTTCAGTCATTTTCCAAGGCATTCCTGTTCTTTGTAGCGATTTAGTGGTGTGGGTCACCGTCTGGGGACATTAAACTTTTCAGTTGAAGTGACATCGCTTCAATGAGAACAGCCACAAAAGACATACAAAAAATTAGATGGTGCCTTCATTAGTGATTTGTTTTTTGCACTGACCTACATCCTGGCCCTTTTTCATGTTTTAATATAATAAATACACAGTTTCAGTAAGTTTCCCTGGCTAGGCTGAAACTTTTGATCTTCCTGCCTCACCCTCCCAGAATGCTGAGATGCAGGCATATGCCACTGTGACTGGCTTCACTGGTAATTTTAACACATTTTTAACATCAAGCACTCAGGCATGCCACAAAGTATTTATGTACACAACCTAGTTTTCATTCTTTTATTATTCATTAACCCTTACAGTTATATCTTAAACATGTGGGTTAAAAACAACATAATCATTTTCTGTTAAAATTTTGGTTTTTTTAGAGACAGGATATGCCTTGTTTTCCAGGCTGACCCCATACCCCTAGGTTCAAGTGATTCTCCTGCCTCGGGTTCCTGAGTAGCTGGAACTACAGGTGTACACCACCATACATGGCTTTGAAAATTATCTTTTAAATGGTAGTAATCAATCTACTGAATGAATAACATCCTGTTGTCTTTCATTCATTATTTGAGATCATTGTTTAAGTACATCTTACTAACCTTATACAGTTATTTCACTTTGCTTCAGGTTTTTTGTAATATTTTCACAAATTTATGAAAGCCATTGTCCAGTCTATGCTTAGATATAATTATCTAGGTCTCAATGTGTTCATTTAAAAAACTTTATCAGTTATTTTTTAGTAGTAACTTTTATTTCCTATAATGTTCATTTTATTCATCCACATTCAGATTTGAATGGCAGCCATTTTTCTTTTATCATGATTTAAAGTATACTTTTATATACAAGATTTATGTAAGCAATTTGTAAGTTCCAGGATGGGCCTGTTCTCAGAGCTGTTTTTTGTTATTTTACCATTCTCTTCCTCCTATTTCTACTTTCACAGGTCTCAACTCTGTTTTCAAGAACAGGAGAAAATGATCAAGTGCCAGGTAAAAATGATCTTGGGGAAACTGACCTAGAAAAATCTGGATACATTATAAGCATCTTGTCACGGCCTGCATTTTCAGGAAAACAGACTCAGAGATGAAGATGCTAGCAGAGGAGGTTTATTGAAGAGTCACCTGTATGACAGTGAGGAAAGCAGGATTGGGCAGAAGGAGTTGTTGAACAAACATCTGATTTGATCTTATAAAATAGTCTGGTGCTTAGTGTTTTCTTGAAGTGAAGGGCTTTTATATTTTGAAATCAACCAGTCATCAATTGCTGGCTGCCCCCAGGAGAGATATTTAAGACCTCCAGTTGACCATGGACAATTCTCAGGAAGATTTCCAAGCCTTCTGGTGATTGCAGGGGAATGCCACAGCCCCCTATTTTACACGAAGAAACCATAAGAAAATACATACACATGCCATTTTATCCAACATATTAGTACTTAGAATCATATCATTTTTTAAAAATCTAGCACATAATGGTCCCTGTATACACGGAAATACAACTGATTGTCTTACTTTTCTCACTGCTGAGACAAAATACCCAACACTCAAAGTTAAAGGAGGAAAGGTGTAATGTAGCTCACAGCTGTCAGAGGTTTCAGTCCGTGCGTGACTGGCTCCAGAGCAGGGTGGATGGCAGGGGGGCTTGCAGGAGAGACAGTTCATGGCAGGCGGAAAGCAGAAGCAGCAAGGTAACAAGTAGTGCAGTAGCGAGCGGCGAGTGCCAACGGCAGCCCTCATTCTGTCCCTTAAATCCTGTCCAGGCTACCAGCCCTTCAGGTGGGTACTACTGACATCCAGAGCGGGCCGCCCTTAATGGCAGCATCACCCCATGACTCAATTTCGGCATCACAGCCTTAAGGCTGGCATCACACACTCTAGATCCAGTCACCTCTGAAAGTTCCACCTATGACCTCAAAGGAGGGCCAGCTAGACACAAGCCATAACAACGGGGAACATAAGCAGTTCCCCATTTTGTGGAGATTTAGGTAGTTTTCAAACTTGGTTAATTCCAAGTTAGGTATTGACAGTGTTGAGAGAACATTTTTTGTCAGAATATGACTGTACAAAATAGACCGTCCAGGTTGGATTTACATCTGTCATTTTAATACCTATTTTCTCTGCCTCATTGGCTTTTGTTGTTCTAGTCCTTTTTTCTTTCTCACTTTGTGTTTGTGATTACTTTTCTGTTATTTGGACCTGGGGATTGCACCCAGGGCTTTTGCACTGAGCTTCATCCCCAGTCCTTTTCATTATTTTTTTATTTTGAGCCAGGGTCTCATTAAGTCACTGTGGTGGGGCTTGAATTTGTGATCCTCCTGCCTCACTCTCCCACAGCCATGACACACCACATGTATCTTTAATTGAATTTTTTTAAGATTCCATTTTCTTGGCTTCAGGTATGTATCTTTGCATTATGATGTTAGTGGTTGCTCCAGTGATACAGTAGGAACCCGTGACCTTTCACAGTCTGTTTAGATAAGACACTCACGTCTTACCTAGCTCATGCTTTGTGCACATACTTCTCCCTTCATCATCTCACCATCTCCTTTCTTCCATTTTCTCATCGCTCACAACCTTCTGTATACTTTTCTCTTGTTCCTGAGTAACTTACCGCCCTTAATATCAGTTTTGCCTTCATGCTGCTTCCGGGTGAGGAGTAGACTTTCTCCATCTTCCTGCAGGCTCAGCATCTCATGTCCCGCTTTGAAGCTTAACCAGATGTTGAAGATTTTGGTGGACTATTGCTGCCTTGGATGCCATTGCCTGGAAGTGCCATCGAAGTCTTTATGACACTTCCACACTGATGGTTCTGAGTTATTCTGTTTGTGCCAAATAGAGTTCCTTGAGATCAAAAACCCTTGACTGTGTTCCCAGCCAACACTTAGGCCAGACACAAAATGGTTGTTAATTCAAGTGTAAATGACAGTAGTGGGTAGCTTCCGACAAGATTTTCATTTCTCCCACCATTTTTAGCACAAAGCGAGGAAGGTAAATGTCACCTAGGTAGATAAATGATCTTGACATGGTCTGACCTGTGACTGTTAGAAAAAGCAGTACCATTCACTACCCCACCACCATTTGTTTTTAACATTTCAGCTTCAGGAGATACCTGTGTCATTCAAAGATGTGGTTGTGGGCTTCACCCAAGAGGAGTGGCACTGGCTGAATCCTGTACAGAGGGCCTTGTACCGGGATGTGATGTTGGAGACCTACAGCAATCTGGTCTCAGTGGGTAAGGACAGCTTCTTCCATGCACTGCACATTATGCTGGACTGATCAGCTTCTCTTTGTCAGTCACCAAAACAGACATAAGTGTGTAAAGCCCTCAGAGTGTCAAACTTACTGAATAGTACTTTCTATGTGCAGAATTTTAGCAACTGTTAAATTTTTTTTGTTTTTTTGTACCAGAGATCGAACTAACAACCTTGCACTTATCAGGCAGGTGCTGCGCTGCTAAGCTATATACCTGGCCTTAGCAACTTTTAAAATATTTACTCATTTAATTCTCCTAGAAACTTTATGAGAGACCCTTATATTTTACACCAAGCCAAAAACCTGTTTCCAGTTCCCCCTGTAATTGTTTATTGGCAGCTCACATCTCACACCCCATGAGTAGGTTCACCCGTTTTAACCTTATGTTCTACTTATCCAGTGCAGAGCTCAGATTACTCACAGAGTTCTGGTGTAGACAGAGTCACTTAAAACTATATTTATCAGGAATGCCATTATTATCTTGGAAGAGAGGCCACAGTCTTTCATCTGAATTGGATATGAAAAGTCAGTGAAATGGATATTATTTTTCCAGTAATTAAGACCAAATAAGTATTTTTCTCTTGGGTAAATTTTGAATCAATCTTCCTTGTTTTTCTCTAATTGCTATGTCTCTCATTTATCTGTGTAACTTTTATGGCACTGAATAGTCTCCAACTTGTTCTTCTAGCAATTTATATTCTGCATTTCTGTGTTAATAGATGTAGTAGGTCTAGAGTGTAGCTTAGTGGTACAACATTTACCCAGAATGCAGTAGGCCTAGAGTTCAAAACCCAGCACTACCATCACACCACAACCTCAAAAATAGACTCAAGCTCTTAGGAAACGTTCATATCTGATTTTCTTGATCTCTCTTTTATTCTGCTATATATTGTAATACCATGGATATAGAAAGAATGCAGCAAATGTTTTACAAAGAAGTGCATATACACTGTAAAATGGAACCACTGGATTTGTGTGCCTGTAATGTTTTATGGTAAAAACAAAACCAAAAAAACCCTCATGTCTAGATGTCAATACCATGTGAGGATATCATCTCTCCATCTTGTAAACAACGTGGCTACAGTAGAAGTGTTTCTGAATGCTTTCCCAATAATTAATGCCAGAGGATGGCTCTTAAGTTAACTTCAGTGGAACCTAAAACAAGCAGCCAAACACTAGCATTTTCTTTTTAAAATGTTTTAAGTTAGTACATGTGCCTTAATTCCTTTTTCCCCATTCTTCTCTTCTCCCTTCAACCCTGCTTCCACTCTCCATTTTAAAAAGTTGTTTCCATTTTTTCCTTTCAGTCTCTTTTTTAAAAAAATTTCCCTTTTCGTTCCTTCCCTTCCTCCTGTCTCCTCCCTTGTTCCCCATCTCATTTCAGCACATTCTTCTTCTTGATATCTATCTTCCATTTTGCTCCTCATTTAACCTTTGGGTTTATACAAGAGAATATGATATTTAAATTTGTGCATCTGGTTTATTTTACTTAACATTATGGTTCTGAGAGGAACCAATTTACCTAAAAATAACTCAGGTTTATCCTTCTTTATGGCAGAATAAACTCCATTGTATATAAATGCCACATTTTCTTTATCCATTGATCTGGGTTTTTTTTTTTTCCTTTTTCTATTTTTTTTTTCCCCTCTTTTTATTGGTACCAGGCATTCAACTCATGACCACCTGCTTGCAAGGCAGGTGCTTATGCCACTGAGCTAAATCCCCAGCTATCCATTCATCTCTTGATGGGCTGTTTTTAAGATTTAGCTACTATAAATTGTGTTGCCATAAACATGAGTGTACGTGTGTCATTATGTTATGATGCTTTAACTCTTTTGGAAAGATACCTAGAAAGGACACAGCTGGGTCAAATAGAATCTCTAGCTTTAGTTTTCTGAGGAATCTCCATACTCATCTCCATAGTGCTTGTACCAATTTATATACTCTTCACAACAATTGAGAAAGGTTCATTTTTCCCCAGAGCATTTAAAAAAATATGTACATTTAATCTTTTTTGTGTCGTTGGGGAGGGATTGAATCCAGGGTTTCATGCTGAATTACACTGTAGATCTTCTTAGCTTTTTAATTTTATTTTATTTTGCTAGGTGTTGGCCTTGAACTTGTGCTCCTCCTACCTTAACGTCTCAGGGGTTAAGATGGGTGTCACCACGCTTAGTTTTAATCACCTTCTTAACCATTATACTTAAACTTCTCCACAATGTTTCCTCATCTATTCAGTGACACATTTGAAAGCTAGAACATTACGTTCTTAAAATGTTAGTTATATCTATCACACTGTAATCTGAAGCCTACAAACAATAAAAGATAGAAATAAACTTTAAAAAAGCTTTTTGACCTGCTACTATTTTACAGATTTGGAAATTAAGGCAGAGAGGGATGCAGTCACTTGCTCAGAGTCACCTAGCTTGTACACTGGGAAGTCAGGGTTTGAACCCTGGCAGTCTGGGTATAGAATGCATTCTTAAACCTTACACTGCTCTGCCTCTGTGGGTTTAGCCTGACTTTCAGTGGCCCTAGGTTACTAATTCTATTGGTTCTGGACAAGGTTTATATGCAGTCCCCTCCCAAGTATAATGTGTATATGTGGCCTTTAAAGCTGCCTGAGAGGCGCCAAAGACTAAGGAGCTTGGCCCAAGACCTGGATCATTTCCTTGGAACAGGTTATGAAGGTACCAAACCAGATGTGATCCTTAGGCTGGAACAGGAAGAAGCACCATGGGTTTGTGAGGCACCATGCCCAGGCTGCTGCTGTTGGGGTAAGTGTGATAAACCTAGCAAAAAGTGTACTGTATGAGATTGGCACCTTGGAAACTTTCTATAAGGTCTTTCTTTTAAAAGACTTGAGCACTCCATCCTTTTTGATGATCCTTTGCCCTTCATTCATTCCTGCCTCCTTCAGTTTTCTACTTCCATGTAAATGCTTGATCCATCTCCCTTTCTCCTTGGTTATCAATGTACCTTCTCTTTCATATTCAGATGTTTCTAGAAATAGCTTCTATGATTTTCCCACTCCTCCTAGTGTTATACCCTAACACTTTCCAGGTAAAATACTGCAGATCATATCCACAGCCTCATTACCCATCCTTTCCTTCTTTCTTATATTCAAATGTAAGTCATTCCCACAGATGGAAGAGTGGGATCACAGAAGAGGCAGTGAACTCTCTGTGGGTGTTAGGGAGGGCCAGGTATCCAGGAATGGCTGGTAAGTAGGTAAAGTGGGGTCCATTTCAACCACTTCTAATTGGCACTTTGTGTAGATATAAAATGGCTATATAAGATATCTTACCACAATATCTTACGTACCTCACCACTTTTTACATTCCACTGACATCTCCTGAATTGGATTCAAATTATCTCATGCCTAAATATCTGTCTTTAAGTCAGGGGTTATTTTTGTGCCATATACCTCTTTGGCATTCTAAGACTTTTTTTTTCACATGTAACACTGAAGGGCAACCAAGATGGTGCTCACTTGTGGTCCCAGCACTTGGGAGGCTGAGGTAGGAGGATTGCTATGAGTTTGAGGCCAACCTGAGTTACAAAATGAGTCCAGGACTAGTCTGAATTACAAAGCAAGACCCTGTCTCAAACAAAACAAAACAAAACAAAAAACAAATGATGTAGCTCAATAGTAAAGTACCTTAGGGTTTAATCCCCTCAAGCATACATACATATTTCTTAAGGTTACAAAATAAAAGAATTGCTGAAAAATAGTAATTATTGAAACAAAAAGTGATAAATGCATATATCAAGATATTTTCAAAATGTATGATGTAGTAGATGCAGTTCCTTATTTATATATCAAACAAAAAGTATATCTTTAATAAATATCAAAGCAGAGATGATTGCAAATGTTATGAAAAATCTTTAAATGTGTAAAATGAGATGAAAATACTATATTCATAAATAAGTGCAAAAAGGAACTGCTAATATCATTGTACAGATATTTATGTTCATAATCAAAAGACATGCTCAATTGTAACTTGAATTTAGTGAAAATAAAGATCTGATTTTTTTCCTGTCCAAGTTCCTAACCCCTGTGATTTTTATCCACCAAGAACTCCTAAATTTTTTTTTTTTTGAGATAGGGTCTTATTAAGTTTCCTAGGCTGGCCTTAAACTCATGATCCTCTTATTTCAGCCTCCTAAATTGTTGGGATTATAGGCAGGTGCTACCACACAAGGCTAAAAGTCTTATTTTAAATCCTAGTCAATTTTGTTGAATCCATTATTTCATTTAATTCATCTCAGAGTGCTTTATTATTTATATTAATATAAATATTCAAGAGAATAAACTCTGATAATTGCTATCTCTGTACTTATCAAAGTCTAAGCTGGACTTCTTGCTAAAATACACATTTTTTGATTCAGCTGGGGATTTAGCTCAGGGGCATAAGCACCTGCCTGGCAAGCATGAGGTCATGGGTCGATTCCTGGTACCAAAAAAAAAAAAGCCTGCCTTGATTCAGTAGGTCAGAGGTGGGGCCTGAGATTAAACAAGCTAACAAGCTAACAAGCTTTCAGGGAAGGACAAATGACCCTCACATTGAATAGCAAGGTGCTGGGTAATGTTTAAACCTCTCTCTTCTATAACAAGTCAGGAAATCATGCTGTATAGGTCAGCCACCCATTTTTGTGAATAAAGTTTTATTGCAACATAGTCACAATCTTGTATTTACATGGTGTGTATGTTCTCTTGCTACAATGGGAGAATTAAATAATTGTGAGAAAGACCATATGACCCATAAAGCCTAAAATATTTTCTCTTTGGCCCTTTAAGAACAAGTTTGCCAATTCCTGTTCTATAATGTCATTTCATCTTTTGAATTATTTCTGTGTATCCTATATGTTACATTCCATTCATGCCAGTGCTCTGAATCTTCTCTACCATAGAACACTCTTCTCTGAATTGTACTTTTGGTTATGGTTCATATATTGTGCACACTTTAAATTTGAGAGCATTTCTTATAGTAATTTTATTACAAATCATAATTATTAAATATAAAGATTCATAAGCAATGATTCACTTGTACTTTCTCCAGAAGACATCTGGCAAGTTGATATCCAGAGGAAGAGACAGCAAGACATGTTTTTGAGGCAAGGTGCCTTTATCAGCAAGAAAGCATTGCCCGAGGGAAAAATCCATGAGTGTAATAAGTTTGGGAAAATATCACTTCTGAGCACTGATCTTTTCCCTTCAATTCAAAGGCCCAATAACTGGGATACTTGTGGAAAGAGTTTGAATGATAATTTAGACTTGATTGGTTTGAAGAGAAACTATGTCAGAAAACAAGATGAGTGTTATGGATATGGAAAATTGTTGCAATGCAGTAACCATGATAAAAGATCTGATGGAGAAAAATCATGGGCATGCGGTCACTGTGAAAAAGATTTCAGCCATAACCCAGCACTTATATATAAACCAGCAGTGGCCAATTCTCTTGTGTACAAACGAAAGAGAATTCCCCCTACAGAAAAACCTCATGTTTGTAGTGAGTGTGGGAAAGCCTTCTGCTATAAGTCTGAATTCATTAGACATCAGAGAAGTCACACAGGGGAAAAGCCTTATGGATGCACTGACTGTGGAAAAGCCTTTTCACATAAGTCAACCCTAATTAAACACCAGAGAATTCACACTGGGGTAAGACCCTTTGAATGCTTTTTTTGTGGGAAAGCCTTTACTCAGAAGTCACACCGCACAGAACATCAGAGAACGCATACAGGAGAGAGACCTTTTGTGTGCAGTGAATGTGGGAAGTCATTTGGTGAGAAGTCATACCTCAATGTCCATCGAAAAGTGCACACAGGAGAAAGACCCTACCGTTGTAGAGAATGTGGAAAGTGCTTCAGCCAGAAATCATGCCTCAATAAACACTGGAGGACTCATACAGGAGAAAAACCCTATGGGTGCAATGAGTGTGGCAAAGCTTTCTACCAGAAGCCAAACCTAAGTAGACATCAGAAAATCCATGCTAGAAAGAATGCCTACAGGAATGAAAATTTAATGATTGTGGGGAATCCTTGATGATGATACCCAGTTTAATTGGGTATAGGAATTTATCCATAGGAGAAAACTTAACAACTTAATGAAGTTAGACAAAATGTTTTATTAAAGAAAAGTCATACTGTAATTATGATGAATCTTTAATGGAAAATATAAATACTGTATAAGAATGTTCACTCTGAGATAAAAATGTTTAAAGTATATTGAATAGAATAACAGATTACAAAATGTATGTGAAAAGACTTAGAAGTATGTGATGGTACTCTCCTTGGTGTGATACATAACATTTATATTTTGGAATTGTTAATGTGAATCACATAAATTGTGAACATCAAATCCATATGTCATGCAGTACAAATGATGCCATCCCCTCAGTTTTTCAACTCTACATATCACCATTTTCTTTTGGTGTCTTAATGGTATAAAAAATAGTAATACAGTGGCCAGCTACTTTAAGAACTTCAGCATAATATACCAGGTACATTTTCCCACCTTGCTTGTAATAAACGTAAAGGGGTTTAACAGTTGTTACTAAGCCCTTCTCTGAATAAGAAAGCAATGTTTTTAGTGTTGTTTGGTAAGTCAGCCAAAAGTTTATTTAAAAGTTATTTTTGTTAGAAACATATTAAAGCTAAGGAATAATTTAACTGCCTGACACTGGGTAAACAAAATTCTGAGGGGCTGGGGATTTAGCTCAGCGGCATAAGCGCCTGCCTTGCAAGCAGGCAGTCGTGAGTTCGATCCCTGGTACCGATAAAAACGAAAAAGACAAAAAAAAAAAAAATTCTGAGAAACTTTATCTCAGCAGATTGTTTAGCAAAGTATAGTGTTTCCCTGTTATACATTGCTCATATTGTTCTAGCTTTTCTTAAAATGTCTTGCAGAAAATAAGAAGTGATGCTCTTTATACAGGTCTTGTAACTCAGAAATGTTTCATGCAGAAATCAGTGAAGTAGAACTCTCTTGCCTTTGAGTTTTCTTCTGCAAATTAATGCAGCAGTATCCACTTTTCTTCCCTATAACTTCTTGTAATTATCCTGGACACTATGTCCCAAATTTTCCATCATCCAATGTTGGAAAAACTTCTTTTTGCTTGAGCCACCATTTTGTCTACATAAGAAAATAAATGGAATGGAAATCTATATTCTTCAAGATTGCCTCCCTGATCCAGAAAGAAAAAGGAAAAAGAGATGTAACCACAGATAGAAACACAGTTTTAAAAGATGATGAAAATATACCATGTGTGACTATAGATCAGTATATTTTAAAAACAGGAAATGAGTGCTTTTTAAAAAGCAGACCATTCAGTTATAAGAATTACGGTAAGAAGTATAAAACATGATAAAAAAATAAGCACTCCTGAAGCATTTGGAAAAGTTATTTAGAATCTATATTGAAAAATACTCCTGTCTTAGACAAATTCTATGATTAATTCTATGTATCTACTCTTTTAAAGTAATACCAAAGTTGCTGATAATATTGTAATCTATAGATTGTACTGTCCAATTTATTTTATGAAGTCAAAATAGAGTTGAAAAACTCAAGATCCACCTTATAAGTATAGAAATAATTAACATTATGACAAATAGAATTGAGCTGTATACCTAAAGGATGGCCAACCATGTGGTTACTGAATTAGAGCCCAAGAATGCAGAACCAGTTCAGGAAATATATCAATCACATTAACAACTTAAAAGAGAAGAATCATTATCCCTCAACAGATGCTGACAAGAGAGTTAATAGAAACATTTGCAAACATTTCTAACAATGTAATATAAGTTATAATCAATGGTATAGGGTTTCTTTACCAAAACCTTATAATATTGTTATACTGAAGCCATTTTTTAAAAAAAAACAGGAATTAAATATAATCTCGGAGACAGTGAACACGAAAATATAAAATAATTGGTATAAGCAATGAAAAAGAAAAAACTACCCCTCTTTTGAGGAAGATATGGTGAGATACCAATAAATGAAGAGACTAATTTATTTTAAGGTAATTTTCTAAGAAGGAAATGTACAGAAATGAAGAACTCTTCCCTGTACTGACAATAAACACAATAATTTATGTACTTCTTTTGGAATTGCACAAAAACTTACCAATTTTTTCTTTTTAGCTTATATGAAATCATCATAAATTTAATATAAAAAATGCTGACCTGATTGGCTTTCAATTTGGAAAAATAGTTGGACCAATGGCACAAAAATATCCAAAAACAAAGTCCAAGTGGATTGAAGACTTAAGTGGTTTTGGTTTTTTTTTTTTTTTTTTTTTGTACTGGGGATCAGATTCATGACCTCACGTTTACCAGGCAAGCACTTATGCCACTGAGTAAATCCCCTGCCCCTTAAGACTTCAGTTTTAAAAATAAAGCTCTTTTTTAAAATGTCAGAGACTATGCAATCTTGATTGAGAGAGAGATTATCTTTATCAACATGGGATATTCAAAAGCTATTGAAAATAAATATTTGACTACATAAATTTTTGAGTGGTAAAAGATGTTACAAAAGAAAAGATTACTGGGGGAAAATGTTTGTGGAACTGATTATAGAAGAAGCATGTCTCAAATTGACAGGAAAAACACCCCAATAGCAAAACATGCCCAAAAATTATATATATAAATGCAGAATTGTGAGAAGAGAGCAACTCTTAAGTGGCTGATGGATCTATCAAAGAATATTGGGGATGCAGATTCAATTTATGGTAACATTGCAGAGTGCTTTTTGCTACCCATAAATACTGCTCTTACACACTTGTTGAAAACACATTTCGAAAAGCAACTCAAATTGCTGTTTTGACAAGTAATCTGGAAATAACTGTTAGAATTCAAAAATATGAATTTTGGAGAATCTTCCCCCTTGGAAGATGTGGCTTCAGTACACAGAGGACAGATAAGCATAGGCATTTATTGTAACTTGTTTCTAATGGCAAAAACGAGAACAACAGTGGAATCTCACCAGAATAAAAGTAAATTCCTGTCAGTAGGAAAATGGGGAGAAGGAAATGTCTGTGTTTTATCTGTTCCATAGAATGGTTAGACAACAAGGCGGAAAACTAAAACTGTGCTACCCAAATTACATAGGCTTTTTTCAATGTAAAAAGCAGCTAGATGATAACACATAAAATACTATCTTTTGTAAAAGAATAACAAAATGTCTCTAGATGTCTTTGAATGTATCTTGTGTATTATTTTATATGCATGGAGAAAAGTATGGAAGATTATGTACTGAGTTGATGGGAAGTGGGTGATGCAGGTAGCGTTTTGGAAGATTTGGAAGAGGAAAAGGGGAGGCAAAAAGAAAAGCAAATAACTGGACCAAATATGATACTTTAAGTGCATGTTGTTAGGGGCAGGTAAAAGGCAGCCAAAATTCTAAGTTGTAGGATGCTTGTGGTTTATTTGTTAAGTGAAAGAGGAAGACTGTAGAATATATATGATACTATTTGAAAAATAACACTTTTGGACCAGGGATATAGCTAGTGGTATAGTGCTTACCTAACATGCTTAAGACCCTAGATTCAATCACAGCTACTATAATAAATGAATAAATAAAACATTAAAAGCCCCATGTATGTATTTTATATATGCATGTTTATGTTTATATGAACAAGGACAATTGTTGGAAAATACAAGGTAGCATTGACTGCCTTGGTGAAGGGGAATATAAAATAGTTGTGTACTTTATATATCTTTGTATTGCTTTACTTGTTAACAACATACGTTACTTTTGTAATTTGAAAAATATAAAATAAAAGGGAGGCAACATTTCCAAATGCAAGAATCCTTGAAAAGTTTTTTCCCTGACAAGATGACTGACCTGATCCTACTGCCTTCCGCTCAATCGTGGGAATGTGGTGTATAACAAATCTCTGAACTAAACACTAAGAGTGCTTAGTGAAACTTTACACCATTTAACTAGCTTCTTATTCCCCATACCTCAGTCCCTCATAATCACCATCTTGTCTGCTATGAGTTTAACATTTTGATTCTAAATGAGATTGTAGATTGTTTTTATGCTTGACTTATTTCATTTAATATCCTCCAAGTACATCCATGTTATCACAAAAATAGGATTTTCTTCTTTTTTAAAGGCAGAATAGTATTTCATTGTATGTAATTTTTTGTTCATCCATCAATGGTTATTATGTTGATTCCACATCTTGGCTCTTGTGAATAAAGGTGGAATGAACTTGGAATTGTAGATATTTCTTCAACACATTTGTTTCTTTTGGGCATATACTGGAACATATGCTTATTCTATTTTTAGGGTTTGAAGAACTAGTTTACTGTCTTCCATAATGGCTGTACTAGTTTACATTCCCAGTAGTATATAAGGATTTCATTTTTTCCACTTCATTGCCAGCACTTGTCTTTTGTCTCTTTTATGATAGCCATTGTAACAAGTATGAGTTGATATTCATTGTGGTTTTGATTTTTCCATGATTCATGTTGCTGATTTTTTATTCACCATTGGCCTATTTGTATATTATCTTGAGAAATGTCGACTCTGGTCCTTTGCTCTTTTAAATATATATTGGCAGCACTGGGGATTGAATCCAGAGCCCTTTCCCCCTTTTTTCCTTCATATTATTATGTCCTATTGGTAACGTTGACCTTGATCACTTGGTTAAAATGCCAGATTTTTTCACTGTCATTACTTTTTCTTCCTTTATAGTTAATAAAATCTTGGGCAAGATACTTTGCAGTTTGCAAAATACCTATTAGCAGGTTGTAACACTAGAGATTGACTAGTTCTGGAAAAGAATTCATGCATCTCCAATAATTCTGATGGTCAGCCAAAGGTGGTCAGATCTGGTTTACAACCTGTCATCCCTAATTAGCCCTAAAACAAATGTCCTCTTCTTAAAAAATAGACAAGAAACATTGAATTATGACATTTATGGACACTGGTCTATAGCTTTATGAACTATACCACTTAATCTCAATTATCAACGTGACTGGAATAAGACACTCCTAGACAGGTGATCATATCATGGGGGACTTACTCACCAGTGGATTAACCCACTGTTCATAGCTGAATGTGTTTTTAGGAACTGGGGCCCACTCAAAGGTGGGTTCCTAGAGGCATGTCTACAGAGGGTGTATCTCATAAATGCTTTCCCCCTGTGATCTGCTTCCCAGCTGCCACAAGTGTGCAGGTTTGCTCCACTGTGCCCTTCTGCCATGACATGTGCTTCAATTTAGATTCATGACTATGGACTGAGACTTCTAAAACCATGAGCCAAATAAAACATTTCTCTTTTATGTTCCAGCAAAAAAAAAAAAAAAAAAAACTGAGTGACTTATGTCTTTTAATTTCCTAGTTCTACTTTATCATAAACTTGGCAGCATAAAGCAACACACATTTTAAAACAGTTTCTGAGTTGGGAGTACAGGTTTGGCTTAGCTGGGTCCCTCTGTTCAGAATCTCACAAAGCTGCAGTTAAGATACTGGGCAGAACAGTCGTCTCTTCTGATCCTCAACTAAGGAAGGGTCTGATTTTAAGTCACATGGTTGTTGCAAATACGCTTTTTTTTGTGATTGTGTTGGGATAAGAGTCTCAACTTCTATTGCTAACTGTGGACCAGAGGACACTTACTCGGTTCCTTGCCATATGTGGCCTATCCAATTTGTGGTCACAGTACAGTAACTTCCTTGAAATAAAGAATATGCTACTAATATACAAGATATAATCTTATCTAGTATCGTCATGGATAAGCCATCTTGTTGCCCTTGCTGTATGCCATTAGAAGCAAGAGACTGGTCTGAGCCAGGCTCAAGAGAACATTACATACATGTGTAATTTTCCTTTCCACAATAATTAGGTGGCAGAGGTCATTGTAGATCATCTTAGCATCTGCCTATCTCCTGGAGGAAACACTGTTTGAAAGTAGGAATGAATAAGGAGGTCAGTTATGTTAGAACTAAGATCTAAGCAAGTCACTTACTTGCTGCTAGTCTTCATGAGTACAGATTACAAATGTTCTTCCTGGAATTTCTCCATTAAAGATCTGTTTTGGTTGTAGTTGGTTGGAGTTCTGTATGCCTCATTTATCTGGATATCACTTCTTTTTCTTATGCTTGGGAAGTTTTCCTTAATTATTTCGGTGAATAGCCTTTGTAATTCATTTGGTTTACTCCTATTTCTTCACTCACGTTTTTTATTTTTAAGTTATAGATCCTCTTCTAGCCTTTGAATTGTTACTTCCTGGTTGCTTGTTATTTTTAATACATCTTTTCTTTCATGATCACACATTGTAAATCTCTCTTCAAGTTTTGAAAGGCTAACTTGAGTTTCTGTCAAGGCATTTTGCCAGCTTTCAATGTAGTTTTTAATCTCCTGGTAATCTCTCTGGATCTGTTTCATGTATTCTAGTTTTTTTTTTATATTCGTCACCAAAGATTTCTCTTCCTTTTCTGGGTTCCTCCATTCTTCCACCTGTGTCTTCTTGAGAGGGGACTAGCATTTCTTTTATTAATCTTTTTATATCTTGCCTCACTTGGATTAGAATTTGTTTTAAGTTCGTCTATGAGGTCACGAAGGTATTTCTTTATGTCCGCTGATGTTGTGGCCAATATTGCATGATTGCTGCCCTGGATCTCTTCTGTATTTACCTCTCCTGGGCTTATTTTCCCAGGATCAGCGGCTGGAGATTTTTCTTTATTTTTTTCTCTTATCATGTCTCTGGTTTCTTTCAGACAGGTGTGTGATGGAGGTCTCAGGCCTCTCCATATTGCTTATGGTTTTTCTGAAATGTGCTGGCTGGGGTTTTGCTGCCCTCCCCAGTTTGCTGTTATCTGAGGTACATGCAGGGACTGTGGGCTGGCCCCTCTCCTCTGAGCCAGTCAACTGGCAAGTGCCTTCAGCAACTTAGCCTTTGCTTTGTGGACATCACAGAGTCGGGACAGTTTCATTCCTGGCTACTGGGTCCTGACCAGGGGCGTGACTTAGCCCAAGCTGATCCCACCAGTCCTCTCTGGGCCAGGAGTGGCTAATGATGCCACCGTGGCGTCGGACTCTGTCCCACTCCAAGATGTCTTCACCAAGAATGCAGTTCTCTACCTTGGCTCCACTCCATGCTGCGCTGTATCCTCCCGCCAAGGGCCTGGGACTCACCAACTCCTGTTATCAGTGGCCATGGTTTCTTCACTAAGAATCTTCTGACTCCAGGGCTCGTCCAGCACAGTGCGGGATGGGTCTTGGTGAGCGCGTCCAGCTCCAGCCCTCCACCCACATTTTTCCTGCCTCTCCCTATTTTTCTTTTTCCTTAAGTTTCCCCCTGGGGTGGTGAGAATCCCTCTCCACTCATCCGGCCCTCTCTATATTGTCAAATTCCAGCTTCTGAACTGTTTTTCCCAGAGAGGCTCTCTGCCCAGCTACCTAGCAAGCTACCATCTTCTTACTCCCCTTTTAAATTTTGAAAGTCTCACTAAGCTGCTCAGGATGGGCTTGAATTTGAAATCCTCCTCCTGCCTCAGTGTCTCAGAGTGCTGGGATTACAGATGTGTGCCTCTCGGGTTTCTCCTCCTAAGAAGCAGACTCTTGTCTTCCTAATGTGCCCTATCATCTGCTTGTAAAGTCACAGTGTGACACTATCTTTTTTATAACTGGCACCATGTTGACTGACAAGACATAGGGATCTGGTTCCTGCATTAATGACTGGTTTTGCACAAATGGTGAGTAGCTTTTCTACAAGCATAATATTTACTGATCTTTCTCATTTACGAATTCTCTGCTGTAAAGTATGATGTATATATTTTAAAACTTCTTTCACAAGTCAGGTGTGCACGCCTATAATTCCAGAACTCAGGAGGCTGAGGTAAACGAATCATGAGTTTAAGACCAGCTTGGGCTACAAAGTGAGTGAGTTCAAGGCCAGCATGAACTGCGTAGCAAGACCCTGTCTCAAGAAGACAAATAAATAAAATAAAAATTGTTTCATAAACAGTGATGAAAACATTCATGCTAATACTGCATACAAAAAAAAACCCTGGATAACATCCATTAGATTTACCGTGTATTAGAAACAGTTGATGAGAAGTAATTTGTTCTCAGAACATGGGCTTTGGTAGGGATTAATGTCCAGCTCCAGGAAGTGCCTGAAGTCTTCTAGCACTAGGCTTCCCATTACAAGAGTGGGCTGCTAATATGGAAACAAACCCAAATGGCAAGATCTGAGATCCAGATTCAAAGGGTCCCAGGCAGTGCTGTGGATCAGTTAAAATCTGGCTCTTGCACTTATTACTCTAGGAAGACAAGTCTTTTAGGTCAGCCTCAGTCTGCCTCCAAAAGTCAACATGGGTGAAGTGAAAATCTACCATATTTCACCTCTGTACAGATGCACTGCACCTGGCAATGCATGGGACTTGTATGCTGGTGGTTGAAAGTGTGTGGCTTCCTGGGTCAGGTACACCACCTCGAGACACACACTCAGGTACCTATCTTTATCACCATTTCATATAAATTGAGTTATGTAGCTAATTCTTTTGTAACATCGTGCTTTGGAAGATTGTTCTTCTCAAAGGCACTCAGCAGTACTGAGTCAGTTCGCAGCTTGTGAGTTGTATTCTATCTTTTCTGCAGAGGGAACAGACAAAGACTTGCATGACAGCACTATCCACACGAAAAGGGCAAAAGCATGTGTTATAATCATACCCAAATGTGCATTTCATGCTTGGCCCAAAGAGGTCACCCATGAAACCTCATTCCTCTCTAGCTCCAGGAAACCAGTTTCTCGCTGGGAGAGAATACAGTTTTGAGGTGAGAGTAAC